ATTCTTTCTGCCTTCCTCTCTACCTTCCACTATACCCATCCTGCCCTTCTCTCCACCTTCAGCTTCGAGACTGCTAGTAACTCATTATTTTTTTTTCCCTGTGAGAGGGAGACCAAAAAACTTGCAGTGCTACGGACTTCCCTGGTAGTGCAGTGGTTAAGAATCCACCTGCCAATGCAGGGGACACAGGTTCAAGCCCTGGCCCGGGAAGATCCCACATGCTGCAGAGCAACTAAGCCCATGTGCCACGGCTACTGAGCCTGAGCTCTAGAGCCCATGAGCCACAACTACTGAGCCCATGTGCCACAGCTCCTGAAGCCTGCACGCCTAGAGCCCGTGCTCCGCAACAAGAGAAGCCACGACAATGAGAAGCCCACACACTGCAACGAAGCGTAGCCCCCGCTGACTACAACTAGAGAAAGCCTGCACGCAGCAACAAGGACCCAACACAGCCACAAATTAACTAATTAATTAATTTGTAAAAAAAAAATTGCAGTGCTAAAATAAATATGTTTAGATCTTAATTTGAAAAAAAAATGTATAGAACTTGTAAATGTAGTTTATTTGAGAAGGAAATAGAAATCATTTCTTGTCCTAGAAAAATAGCAAATCTTTAGCCTCAAACTCGTTAGGGGTTGTAAAGGAAAGAGGAAAAAAAATTTTTTCATGTAAAAAGCTAGAAATTTTTTGTCAAAGGACATTTAAGTTCATAAATCAGGAATTTTATAATTTATTATTCTGCATAATAAAATACTCCCTTCCCCACCCCCTCATCCTTATAATAATAGATATCCACCACTTTTGTTCTTATTGTTCAGTTTTTGCATATCCAACTTTAGAATACCTTTTTTGAGAACTTACTATATACCAAAGTAGGGGCCTCCTGATACTGACAGTGCTGTGTTTAGTCCTGTTCTAGCATACATTTCATATTTGCTTAGGAGAAAAAGAGTAAACACGAAGAAGCAAAAAGAAAACTAAGGTTGGGACTTCCCTGGTGGCCCAGGGGTTGGGAGTCTGCCTGCCAACGCAGAGGACACGGGTTTGAGCCCTGGTCAGGGAAGATCCCACATGCCGCGGAGCAACGGAACCCGTGCACCACAATGAAGAGTAGCCCCCGCTCGCCGCAACTAGAGAAAGCCCACATGCAGCAACAAAGACCCAAAGCAGCCAAAAATTAATTAATTAATTAAAAAAAAAAAACACTTAAGGTTGGTTGAGTATATAAAATGATAAAATCCTTTAGAAAGAACTTTGGTCTTATGTGTCAAGAGTATTACATAGTTATACCCCTTTAACCTTAGTGCATCTTCTGTTCTGAAAAAATTTAACAAACAAAATATTAAGAAAAAACGTCTAGGGACTTCCCTGGGGGCGCAGTGGATAGAACTCTGAGCTCCCAATGCAGGGGGCCTGGGTTCAATACCTGGTCAGGGAACTAGATCCCACATGCATGACGCAACTAAGAGTTCACATGCCACAGCTAAGGAGCCAGCGAGCCACAACTAAGGATCCCACGTGCTGCAACTAAGGAGCCCTTCTGCCACAACTAAGGAGCCCGCCTGGCACAACCAAATAAATAAATATGAGAAGAAGATAAAACATCTACAATACAAAACTAGTTTGTTTTAGCATTATTTATACTAGTCAAAAAATTGATAGCATCCTAAATGTTTACTAGTATAAACAATGTAATTAAACTCTAGCACATTGGCTTACTAGACAGTTTTGTAACCATTAAAAATACAAAAATATAAATGAAGGTATTCTAACAGCCTGGAAGAATGATTATGATATAAGGTAAAGTAAAAAAGAATAATATAAAGTCGTACATAGTATACAACATAGTATATATACAACTATATACATAGTATACAACTGTACTAAGTTGTACATAGTATATTAACATTGAACAATCCAGAAAGGAACTAAAACAATTTCATTTATAAAATAAAATAGAAATAAATTTGATCAAAGGGGAGAAAGACTTGTACACTGAAAACTACAAAACATTCCTGAAAGAAATTAAAGAAGACCTAATAAATGGAAAGACATCCCAGGCTAATGGATTAGAAGACTTAAGATTGTTTTCTGGTTGGTTGGTTGGTTTGGGGGTTATTTTCTTTAATTTTTTAAATTGAGGTATCATTGATTTACAACATTGTATAAGTTTGAGGTATACAACATAGTGATTCACAATTTTTAAAGATTATACTCCATTTATATTTATTATAAACTATTGGCTATATTTCTTGTGGTATACAATATATTCTTGTAGCTTTTTTTTTTTTTTTTTTTTTTGGCCACTCAGCTTGTGAGATCTTAGTTCCCCAACCAGGGATTAAACCCGGGCCCTCAGCAGTGAGAGCATGGACTCCTAACCACTGGATTGCCAGGGAGTTCCCACTTATTTATTTTATACCTACTAGTTTGTACTTCCCCTACCCCTCTCTTCCCCCTCCCTCTTTTCCCTCTTTCCACTGATAACCACTAGTTTCTTTTCTATATCTGAGAGTCCTTTTCTTTTTTGTTATATTCACTAGTTTGTTGTATTCTTAGATTCCACAGATAAATAACATTATAGTATTTGTCTTTCTCTG